AAATTAGCATTTGAAAGCATTCAAAAATTGCTTAAATCTTTAGTTCCACTACAGGTGCAACTCTGAATGAAATTTGTCATCTGCTTTGTCACTATTTTGACAAATTTATAATTACACTAACAAGGTGAACTACTGACTTCACAAACCGATAGCATCATCTTTCACATATAAAAATTTTTAAACAAAAAAATCTACTTTCATGAAAAAACTGAACTAAAGCATTGCTCCATTTTATACTTTTCTTAAACTCCTGGAAAGCTCTATCACTTCCTAGTGATGTTAGAAATACAATAAAGAAGGCATTCAGTGATTATTTTCTCTGCTCTCTGCCTACAACCATAGTAGGTGGTGAGGAATTTAAAAATCTAAGATATTCTCCAAGAAGGAGTGCTAGGCTAGCAGAACACATAAACCACATAACCATACCAGAGTGTGCTCAAATACAAGAGCAAAACGGATACAAATGGGAACAGCAATAACCACAACATGGGTCTGCGAGCTCCAGGAAGAGACTGTGCTTGTGCAGTCAATCAGCGCTGGAAGTTCAGCAGCCTTTCACACGGTGTCAGGCACATGTTGAGTATTCTATAAATATTTGCAAACTAATCATATAAAGGAAGACTTCACACAGAAAGTGGAAAGAAGCAGGCATTAGAAGCACAGGAGATGTTGGCAGGCATATGCCACAATGGTTAAGACACCACTGGGACATTCACACCCATTATCAAAGTACCTGGGGTTTGAGTCTTGGCTCTACTCCCAATTTCAGCTTCTTTCCAATGTATACCTTAGGAGTCAGCAGGTGGTGACTCAACGAGTTGGGTCCCTGCCACTCACCCAGAGGCCCAGGCTAAGTTCCTGGCTGTTGGCTTCAACCTGGTCTAGTCTGGTATACAAAGGCTTGAGGAATGAACCAGTAGATGGGAGTTTTTCCTTTTTCTTTCTGCACTTTGCAAATAAAACAGGTTTTTTTTTTTTTAATGAGTTGCAATTAAATGGATAACTATGGAGGGAAAAGGCATTTTAGCTAGAACTTTAATAAGAGGGAGATCCCAATAAATAGCTTGTTCCCCAAATGCTTGTGACAGCAGAGGCTGTGTCAGCAAGAAGCAGGAAGCCATGAACTCAACCTGGGTCTCTTCCAGGATTGGCAGGGACCCAAACACTAGAGCTATACCTTGCATTTGACCAGAATACAGAATATTAAACACCTGGAAACAGGAGCCAGCACTCAGACCTATGATGCTGGTGTTTTTTTTTTTTTTATTGGAAAGATTTTATAAAGAGGAGATACAGAAAAAAGATTGTCCATCCACTGGTTCATTCCCCAAGTGGCCACAATGGTCGGAGCCAAGACAATCCAAAGCCAGGAGCCAGGGGCTTCTTCCCGGTTTCCCACATTGAGTGCGGGGTCCCACAGATCTGAGCCATCTTTTACTGCTTTCCCAGGCCACAAGCAGGGAGCTGGAAGGAAAGTGGAGCAGCCGGGATACAAACTGGTACCCATAAGGAATCCCGGTGCATACAAGGCAAGGGCTTTAGCCATCAGGCTACCACGCCAGGCACATGGGATGTTGTTATCTTAAGAAGCATTTTACCATCTAGGAAAATGTCTGCCCTAGATACCTAACATTTTGAGTGACATTCAGTCTTGGGTTTGGTAAACGTTGTCTGAAATGACAAGGTAATAATTTTTGGGGGCTTTTGGACCACATGTTCCCTATCACCACTATATGACTGTTGCATGGCATGACAGCATCGCGGACAACATATAAATGCAGTTAAGGTGGCTGAATTTCTGCCAATCTTCATAAAAACAGGTGGCTAACCCACAACCACAGTTTACTATCCACATCCTAGAGACTCACTGAGACTCTCCAGTAATTCTTTCATTAAGACAGTTTTACTTCCTTTCAAACACTTTCACATGAGCTATCTCAGTGTTTCATTACAGTCTTTGCAGACACCATTAAGGCAAGTACTCTCTTGTTGTTTGGAAAAAAAAAAGATTAATGAATTGTGTGACTTGAACTATTGCTAGTAAAGCTGAGCATTAAAAAAATGAGCCTTTGTTCCTTCCATAACCATTTATTCTCCTTCACACCCAAATCTTCTAATGTCCCAACAGAAACATTTCAATTTTAGAATCCCCTGTAAAAAGTAATCTCTGTGATTTTAGGGAAGATTTACCAAGTCCACAAGAGACTTCAAGAACACTTTCTTTTGTTTTGTTTTCCATTCACATCATTTATTTCAATTCTTAAGTCAAATTATTCTTAAATGCTTTCCCCCTCCTGAATCCTCTTTTTTTAAACTGTTTTATTATTCCCATATCACCAAATACATAATCTCCAGATAGCAAGCAAAAGAAGGGAAGGGGACCTTTTCAAGGAGGTGACAGTTACTTTCATCACAGCAATAGTTTTGGGCTCAATAATATAAATGACCAAATGATTGTGAGGTGCCGAGAAACACTGGACTTTCAAACTAAGCACCAACTTTGTATAACTTATTAAAAAAAAGAAATAATAAATGAGTTGATAAAATTTATATTACAGGCTATTATGAATTATGTTCCTTACTTGACATTGGGCCCTGAATTATTCTTAATGAAATTTACTCTGTATTAAATTATAGTTACCTCTCTAATAATATAGTTTAAAACTAAAACTGATTCACAATTGTGAAAAATTATGTTTTAGGAGACTGGGGCTTTTCTATTTTATTCTAGTCACTGAAATAACAGAACTTATTGTGCTTTAACTTCCCAGCAAAAAAATTATCAAATGTAAATAAAACACAGAATGCTGTAGTTTGGGATGGCAGAAAAGAGACCATAGAAGTTAAAACTGAAATATGGCCTGTATTGATGGGAAAAATGATGATGGTTTCATGACCCTTACAAAAATTTTACCCAATTACTATTTGATTATAAACAAACATATATGTATACACATGTATATACACACATGTTTCTATGTACATATATGTACATGTACATATATCTGTGTACGTGTGTGTGTGTGTGTGTATGCTGTATTTCCCATGCAGCTCCCTGCTTGCGGTCTGGGAAATCAGCAGAGAATGGCCAAAAGTCTTAGGACCCTACACCCAGGTGGGAGACCCAGAGGAAGCTCCTGGCTCCTGACTTCAGATCAGCTCAGCCCCAGACATTGTGGCCACTTGAGAGTAAACCAGCAAATGGAAGATCTTCCTCTTCTCTGTCTTTCTCTCTGTAAATCTAATTTTCCAATAAAAATAAATAAATTTTATTTTAAAAAGGAAGAAAAATAAAAATAAAACAATACTGAGTACCCAGAAATGCAAAACATTAGGACCTGGCACCATGGTATAGCAAGCTAACCCTAAGCCTGTGACATTGGTAATTCCACGTGGGTGACTTGAGTCCCAGATGCTCTGCTTCTGATCAAGCTCCCCGTTAATAGTTTGAGAAAGTAGTGTAAGATGACCCACATCCTTGGTTCTATCACCAAAGTGAGAGACCCAGAAGTTCCTGGCTCCAACATTTGGACTAACCTAGCACAGGCCACTGTGGCCATTAGGGGAGTGAATCAGCAGATGGAAGATCTCTGTTTCTCCTAACTCTGACATTCGAGCAAAAAATAAATCTCAAAATACAAAAGAAATAATTTAAAGTATTATAAACATAAGAACTAGTGTGTTTTATGTCTTTGCAGTAAACTTAACTATCACCTACGAGTGCTGGCTTTCTCTCAGTGTGTAACCCACGACAATAATCTTTCTCATGCATTAATGAACTAAAAGAATTATGTTTTAATCAATTTCCCACATTTTATTGTTCGTGCTTTCAATGTCATGAGATATTTGAAACTTTTCTGAATACGAATTGTGTTTTATAGCATCAACTTCCTCCAAGACATTTGTGTCCTTTTTGTCACAGCTTTCTTCCTTAATTATGTCAGTTTACCTTCACACTGTTTTACTGGCTACATTTCTAGTCTCTTGCAAGGCAGCCATGCTAATATTCCCAAAGTCATTATTTCTACATGACCTTATCGCCAAATTTCATTTTCCATATCATCAACTGGCCTGTGTGTGTATGTTTGTGTTTTGGTTTTCATCCATATTTTTTGATCAATTACCCTTTTCAATGACCCATTTTTATACCATGATCCAGGGCTTATTTCAGAAGACACAGAATAATACAACCACATGTTTTGCTGCAAGGGTGAAATAAGCAACAGATGTATCATGACCAAAGAGCAGCAGACACTGAATGAATGACACCATTTGCTGATTTGTCACTGATCATAAGCATATTTGTTATTATGTGATGATTTCTAAAGTGAAAGGCTAGCAAATTTATATTATATCTGATTATTTACAGTAAACATAATAACTTAAATTTGAAACTCATATTTGGGCAACTCATGATACTTACCTAAGCCATGGTAAAAAATAAACACATGCATACTAGAAATACCACGAGAGGACTCTGTGTATTCAACAACTGCCTGAAGCATTTTAAAGCAATCAGTGAAGAATACATTAAGGATGAGGATTATCAAATACACCAGACAAGTTCCCTGGTCTCCTAAGCTTCTTTCTTTGGGGTACTTTCCAAATCACAAGAAAAAGCAGATCCAAAGACCAAGCAAAGTCTACTGTTCTAAGAAAATAGAGGTTGGAGTTTAAGTCCTGACCAAGCACAGTTGTTTTGCTATACATCCAGGGTTTTCAGTTGTGGCCCCATAAGGGACATGCCTGAAGAACAAGAACTATTAGTAATAGCATTTCCTTCAAAATGCTAAACTCAAAATGTATCCTATGACATGCTATGGCTAAGCAATCAGTCAAATGCTAGAAAATTCACCAACACAGGAATGCTGGAAAGTCTAACGGGAAGAATGACAAAAAGTTCATATTACCAATTCTACAATGTGTCAATGACTCACAGGGATATGGTTATGTTGCATTTCCTGAAGTAGTAAAATGAAATAAAAAACTGCTATAGTTACCATTTTGTAATCCCATCCAGAGCTGCTTGTGATCTTTTTTCTGCATTTCATTAATTACTTGACTTTTATGCTTTAAAGCATCAGCTTCTTTCATACAAGACATAAAATGAGCTTCGATTGCATCCTTAGACGGACAGTGGAGAAGGTCCTTTTCTGGAAAACTCTATCAAAGAAAAAACACATATAAAATAGGTAGACACATTGTAAAATTAGCTATTAAAGAACTGTAGTCTTATCATCAATCATCTATAGCCACTACTACAAATGTAAATGGTTCTTGAAAACAACTGCCCACTTCGATGTACTATGCTTTTCTCAAATAATCTCACATGATGTTTTACAACATAGAATAAAACAGTAAAAAAAATTCAAAATATGAGAAATCTTTAAAAATTCATAGGAAATATGTATTATGGAAACATATGCATGAACTTTCAGAGTTTTCTTAAACAAAATAAATTTGTCTTTTAATTCCATTTTTCCATGGACTTTGAAATACCCTCTTCATTTAACTGCCCATACTAAGAACCATCAAAAATATGAAACATAATTGGCACATACTGCTGATGGGAATGTAGAAATGTATGACCACTTTGGGAAACATTGTGGCAGTTGCTTTTTAAAGAGATAAACACACACCTGCCACAGGGTCCAGCTATTCTACAAGTAAGCATTCAGCTCTTCTGTCTATGTATAGACTTGTACACAAATATTCACAACCACCCTATTATTAAACAGTCAGAAATAAGAAACATACACTTGAACACAGAAATTGTGCATTCAGACATAATTCATACATAAAATACATAAATTTATGGATAAATACATTATGGTATAAACTTACTAAAGCATACACTTCGAATCTGCATAGTTTAAGTCAATCAGAAGTCATTGAGCTGTCAGAAAGTAGCTTTTAACCTCATCTCCCAACTCTACATGGGCTTTAAAACCTAAATCCAAATTTTTTATTAACTAAAAATTCCCAAGAATTGTTACACAGACATCTCCAGGCTTCAGTTTCTTGTATTTTTAAAAAATTTTTTAAAAAGATTTATTCTTTAATTTTTATTGGAAAGGCGGATATACAGAGAGGAGAGACAGAGAGGAAGATCTTCCATCCGATGATTCACTCCCCAAGTGAGCACAACGGCCGATGCTATGCCAATCTGAAGCCAGGAGCCTCTTCCGGGTCTCCCACGCGGGTGTAGGGTCCCAAAGCTTCGGGCCATCCTCGACTGCTCTCCTGGGCCACAGGCAGGGAGCTGGATGGGAAGCGGGGCTGGCGGGATTAGAACTGGCGCCCATATGGGATCCCGGGCATGCAAGGTGAGGACCTTAACCACTGTGCCATCCCGCCGGGCCCAGTTTCTTGTATTTTTTTATCTCTGTGGGATTTGCTCTTTATCTTTATATCTTTAAGAGCATGTTTATTTGGGTTAGGTTTTATTATTCTTTATAATTATAATGTTTATAAATAAAAATCAGGGAGCTTAGTCTTTCTGAAAATTACTAGTTTATCCACACTAGTATAAAATAAGTATCAGGTGTTGTAGTTACCCAATCTGTTATATTGCACATTTAAATTTACTTATAATATTTCATTAGTGGACAATCTTTATTCCTATACTAATATAAAATTCAAGAATAAAATATACTGGTGAGGTGGAAAAGTAGCTTTGAAAGTCAGAAAGCTAAAATTTTGTCCCATAACTTCTCAGAATCTTTTAAGACAGCTGAAGCAATGACTGCAGAGATAAGAAGTTATGGAAATGAGATGACTAATGAGCTTTTCCACAGAAACCAAGAGCTAACACTTACTGAATACATGAACACAATTTACTATTATTTTTTATATTGATCATTCAGTTCGTTCCTCACAAAAATGCTAGATAAATTACTGCTATTTCACACACACACACACACACACACACACACACACGATTGTAGGGGCCTGGCATGGTGGCCTAATGGCTAAGGTCCTTGCCTTGAACACGCTGGGATCTCAATATGGGCACGGGTTTTATTCCCAGCAGCCCAGCTTCCCATCCAGCTCCCTGCTTGTGGCTTGGGAAAGCAGTTGAGGATGGTCCAAGAGCCTCCTACACCTGCATGGGAGACCTGGAAGAGCTCCTGGCTCCTGGCTTCGGATTGGCATAGCTCCAGCCATTGCAGCTAATTGGGGAGTGAACCATCGGACAGAAGATCTTCCTCTCTGTCTCTCCTCCTCTCTGTATATCTGACTTTGCAATAAAAATAAATAAATCTTAAAAAAAAAAAACTGTATCTATGAAGTAAATGGAAACTTCCTTTCTATTAAAAAAAAAAAAAAAAGATTGTAGCTCAGAGAATGATGACCAGATTCTAAAGACTTCCCGAATTTGCAAGTAGCAGAGATAGGATTTGAGATTAGTGTGCCTCTCAACTTTGAACCCCCAAACAACGATCACTTCTACCATATGACTGAAAAATTAGGAATAGGGCCTGGCATGTAGCCTAGTTGCTCAAGTCCTCGCCTTCCATGCGTCAGGATCCCATATGGGCACCAATTCGTATCCTGGTTGCTCCACTTCCCATCCAGTTCTCTGCTTGCAGCCTGGGAAAGCAGTTGAGGATAACCCAAGACCGTGGGACACTGCACCCGCATGGGAGACGCAAAAGAAGCTTGCGGCAACTTGGCAAATGAACCAGCTGTTCGACAATCTTTCTCTCTCTGTCCCCCCTTCTTTCTGTAAATCCATCTTTTCAATAGAAATAAATAAATCTCTTTTTTTAAAATTAGGAATAGTGACATATTTCAATGTTATTCTTTCTCTTCTGTTGCAAGCAGCTACTTCATCTGCTCTATCACAGTACCAGCCCTCTAGAGATGTAAATTTAAAAAAAATCAAGAAATGATCACAACAGACTTTTACATAATTTTTATTCATCAAGAAAATCTAAAAGGGTTTTTTAGATACTGTTTAGATAGGAATGAGTAGCTGTAAATACAAATGCTCATGCTCCAAAGAAAACATAAAGAGCTTGAATTTTTAATTATTTAACTTAGGTTCTGTTCAAATTTTTAAAAACTATTGCAAACCCTAACGGCAGGGGAAAAGAGTATCAATCAGTGTAAATTGTCTTGAGGAATTTGAAGAAAATGATGATTTGGTGCATTTGCTTCATGCACGTTGCTCCACATGTTCCTAAGATTAAAAAATCCTGACATCCATAACTGACAGCCAGCTACAGACGACTGGTTTGGGGTATAAGGGGTCACAAGACAGCAGGTAATGACAACAGAGAAAGCCTAGGTTGAGCAGGGGAAATCTTCAGTGACAGTTCAGACGCAACACAAGGAGAGAGCAATCACCATGTGGCCTGAACCATGTGGCCGTGAGGAAAGGGACCGCCGTGTCAGCCACTGAACGCCAGCCCAGCTCCTGTCCCTGCAGTGCTCTTCACATCACCAAGGGCTGGAAGGTGGGAGTAGGACAGCATTCTTTAAAGACCTTCCCTACAAAATCATGCTAGATTCTGCTTCATTACTCTTCTAATCTAACACACATTTACAACTAAGTGAAAACAGTAATTTTGGATAATCTGTCAGCAATACTGAAAGGTTAGGGCACGATAAAAGAGCAGAGCTATAAACATCTTTTCCATATGACCCATAGAGAATTCAACAACCGATTAAACATGCAGAAGTTGTCACAGCAATGTTATTTCATTACTGAATCACCTCTGGTAAGTGCACTCTACACTTTACAGAAAATAAAAAGAGTTAAATAGCTTGCTTTTATACAACATCTAAATGTTCACTTATATGTACAAGTTAGACTAGAACAAGAGAAAATTTTCAAGTATTTCTCCCAAAGTATCATTTTCAGGATACAAGGAAGCATGCTATAAAAAAGAAGCTTAAAGAAATAAACTGACTCAACACTAAAGCTAAAACCTGCTATCTTGCTCAACTCTCTTAAATTTTCTAATTCTAACAAGATACAATCAAAAAATCTGCAATCATTGCATTCATTCCTTTTACAACCTGACGGATCTCTGCCATCCTGCTACCTAAATGCCATTTGCTTAATCTTTGGAATACGGCTCAGTTAATTACTCCCGTCTCTTCCTGCAACAGTATCTTTACCAATTTTCTCATTACTATTTTCCATCAGCTTTCTCCCATATTAAAACAACAACAATCAAAATGAACCAACCAAGCAATCATGGGCCTTTCTACTAGCCTAACTCCTGTCTCTGTAGTGCCACCTCATCTCCTCTTCACAGACAACTACCAAACTTTCGGCTCCCTGCAGCCTATCACACTCATCATCCCATTGCAAATTCTCTTTTCAACACCAGCAGTGATACCTTTCAATTCTTTTGTTTTAAGACTTAACCAAACATCGCTACCCTCTAGGAAGCAGTCACCCACAGGTCTGAGTCATCACACTTTACATTTCCCTCCAATTGCTCTTCCTTATTTTGCTTCTTCCTCTTTATATATTGTGATTGTTCTGGTTTCCAGTTTTCTATTTTATCATCCTTACCTTCTTGCTTAGCATGTATGGACTGGGCCTCATTATCTGTCTCCCAACAAGATCCTTCTCATTACCTTCAAGCTCATACCTATCTACGAAGATTTCACATGGGTCTCAAGTCCTGGTGTACTCCTAACTCCATCTTACTGAAAATACTGACAGGCAGCAGGTGAAGGCACAAATACTTGAGTTCCTATCACACACATTAGAGATTTAGCCTGAATTCTAGGTTCTTGCCTGTCAGCTGACCCAACTTCCAATGTGGGCATTTGGAAAGTTAATCAGCAACTGGGATAGCGACCTGCTCTTTCTACATCTTTCTTTCTAATAAATAAGCATACCTCAAAAACTAGCTGCAAATTTTTCAAAATGGTTAATGCAATTTCTACCTTTCATATAAGATTTACACAAGTGGGCCTGGCATGGTAGCCTAGTGGCTGGAGTCCTTCCCTTGCATGCACCAGGATCCCATTTGTGCGACAGTTCATGTCCCGGTGGCCCCACTTCGCATCCAGCTCCCTGCTTGAGGCCTGGGAAAGCAGTGGAGGATGACCCAAAGCATTGGGAGACCTGCAACAAGCTCCTGGCTTCAGATCAGTTCAGCTCCAGCCATTGTGGCCACATGTGGCCACTTGGGGAGTGAACCAGCAGATGGAAGATCTTCTTTGTCTCTCCTCCTCTCTGTATATCTGACATTCTAATAAAAATAAATGAATATTCTAACAAATGTATTTAAGTTCTTTCTCGCCTTAGTGATTGCATGAGACCAATACGTAATTGTGATTTTTAATTTACATGTCTCTGGTGCCTAGTGAGGCTAAGCCCTTTACAGGTGCTTACTGTCCACTGCAATCTTCTGTATTTTTTCCAAAACAATAAATTTGTTAGGAAATAAATAGAACCTAAAGTAAACTTCTGGGTTTACTAGCATACTGTCAACTAGAAACGGGAGTTTAATTCAAAGACTGTACCCAGTTACACACCTACAAAACAGACTAGTAAATAAATTCAGTAAGAGGAATTTCACATATACCAGTTAAGATGCTACAATTTTCTGATTGTAGGATAACCCAGCTTCCATTATTTTACAACTGAGAAGCTACCACTCTTCCAATGCACTTTAATAAATTTCTGGGCTTTTTCAATATGAAGCATCACATTTATTATAACATTTATATTTTCCTTAACCATTTAATATGGATAAATCTGTGATAATGGTTTTCAACATACCCCTGCATTATTTCTGTCACTGCAAGTTTTTAATACTCTGCTCCCCTTTTGTTATACATCCAATGGTTTTTCTCTTCAGAACATTTTTAGTAACAATGATTTTCAACAATGTATGATACATTAGAGCAGAAATATCAACAGATGGAATGGGAACAATAACCGATATATTTGTTTTGTCCTTAGGGTAAAATAAGTCAGTAAACCACCATTCAATTGCAGCATTTGTCAGATAGATGAAATTCCCCTCCATTCTCAAGCTTGCAGACAGTTCTAATGATAAATGGGTACTGAATTCCAATTATGGTTTTTCCTGATTCTATGGATTTTATTATACAATTTTTCTATTTTCTGCTTACTCAGTGAATTATGCTGACTGGTAACTGAATCAATACAGCATTCCTAGTGTAAACTCAGCTGAGTCGTGGTGTGTACTGTCCTTTTTCTATCCTGACGGACTCAGTATGGAAATATCCATACTTTACTGTCAGTGCTCATAAGGGATATTAGCTTGCACTTCCCTTTTAAAGAAGTTAGTAGGTCTTAGCACTACAGTACAGCTTGTAAAACAAGTTCAAGTTCCATGTTCGAACAAGGAAGTGCTTGCTTGCCTCCCTTCTCTTTTCTGGAAAAAAACTGTAAAAAGACAAATAAAAGCTATTCCTTAAATGTTATACAATTCACCACAAAAGTCTACTTATTTGAGAAGTTTCACAGTACAAATTCAACTTCTTTATAGAAAAACACTATTCAATTCTGTTATTCTTGCATCAGTGTTGATAAAGTATACTTTCCATGAATTTGTCTATGTGTCAAATTTGTTGACCAAGAATTGCCAATAAAGTTATTCATAATACAAGGTGACTTCACAAAGTTCATGGAAAAGTTTGTGGAAGATGAAGCTAAAAGACAAAAAAATAAGATTTTTATTTCTCAACATAAACCACAGAAAATTTTGTAAGTGCTAACACCAAACTTAAATATCCATTCCTATGGGAAAATTAATCTTATCAATGTAGTCTTTTCAATGTAATAACTAGGGGGAAAAAGGTGTCCTTGAAAAAGTTCTTAATTACAATTGAAAAAGACACAAAAAACCAAGTCAAATGTGTAATGATTTCCCACCAAAATTCTTACAAAATTGTTGGGTGAGATGTGAGCAGGAACATTGTTACTGTGGAAAAGGACTCCCTGATGCTTTCCTACATATTCTGCTAAAGTTTTGGCTCAGTTTTTCAAAACCCTAATAAGCAGAAAGTCGACAGGCAAACTGGCCTGACGAACCCCACAAACCCGCAGCTATGATCTTTGCTCCTGACTGTTCTGCATTTGCATTGCCAGCACCACTTCCACCTCTTGCTAGTCTTGATTGCATCTGCTTCAAATTTCTACAGAAAGTTCTGCTCTTAATCTGCAGCTGATATTGACCTGACAGTTTTAGCACTCTCAGAGTAGGAAGCCAGCTCCACTGCAATGTTTCACAGTATCAACTACTAGTTCTAATGCTAATTACTGACCCTTTTAAATTTGAACATGAATGAAGTTCATTGTATCTTCACAAACTGATGGATGGTCTGTCACTACAAACTTCATCTTCAACACTATCACGTCCTTTCTTAAAGCAAGTTATCCATTTGTAAACTTATTATTTCTTTGGGTCACTGTCCCTATAATCCATTTTGCAAAATACCAATGATTTTACCTATCTTCCCCTATCTTCCTCATCATTTGAATGTCTTTTTGCTTCAAATTTAGCAGAAATTATGTTACTCTGGTAGGGATTCCTTAATCTAGTATCCTTCTTAGTGCCTCAAGCAAGACATACTACAGTAATTGGTACTAAAAATTTTTACCCTGGTACCAAAAAAGAAATAAGAAATACATGTGTATGTTTTTTCAAAGTACAGATTTTCCATTAATGAAGACCACTCATATTCCCTGTTATTCTTTTAATAGCCACGGTATTAACTGTAATTTACTATCTTTCTGTCCTAAGCAAATTGTGTTTTCAATCACAGGATATAAAACAGTCTCATTCCCTCTAAGCATTATTTTAGGTGAATCCTACAATTCTTTGAAATATTTTTAATTTCCTCAATCAAGTTTCTAATCCAAGGATAACTGAGGCACTCCAGAATTAGCCATCCTTTGGATAATTACAGTCCTTACCTATACTATGAGAGACTCACAGTAAACGTGCTTTGAAACACTCATTAAAAAAATTGAATAAAAAGAAAGCAAGAGTAGGCAATTGACGCTGCATGGATACCTGAATCCCATACTGGAGTGTCTAGGTTTGAATTCCAGCTCGCACCTGATTCCAGTTTTCTGCTAGCTCTGTTCCTACTGAGTAGTAGATAACCAGCTCAGTACCAGAGTATCTTGCCATAAAGATCTGGATTAAGTTACTAGTTCCTTGGGCCAGGGCTGTAGCACGGTGAGTTAAGCTGTTGCCTGGAGTGCTAGTATCTCATATGGGTACTGGTTCGAGTCCCAGATGTTCCCTTTCTCATCCAGCTTCCTGCTAATGCACTCAGGAAAGCAGCAGAAGACTGTCCAATTTGTTGAGTCCCTGCACCCCTACAGAAGCAGAAGAAGCTCTTGGCTTCTTCCTAGCCCTAGCCATTGTAGCCACCAGCAAGTGGAAGATTTCTTCTAAATATTTTAAATAAAGAAAGAAAGGGAAAAAAGGAAAAAAAAAACCCTTCTTGGCTCTCAACGTTAGCCTAGCTCAACTCCAGGAACTGTGGGCATCTGGAGAATCATTCAGTGGATGGGATATTTCTCTCTCTGCTTTTAAAATAAATAACATGTTAAAATGTGTATTTTTATTAACTTTTTAAAGATCCCTCATATTTTTTTAGCTTTAAACAGTTTTTCTCCTGTTAAAAAATTAGGATTTTTTTTCCAGAAAATGATTTACTGGAAAATCAGAGTCAGAGGGGGGAAAGAGACAGATCAATCCTCAAGAATGTAGTCACATACACCCACACCTTTCACTGCAGACTCAGGAGACTCCAAGCAGACAAAACCTACATAAACCGTGCCCAAACTCCCAATCCAGAGAAACTGAGAATCAATCTAAACTCCTTTAAGCTGCTACATTTGCAGCAACTTATCCACAAAAATAGATAACCAATTAGCCACAAATATGTATAGTTACAAAGGGAGCACAGTAGTAGAAGCAAGTAAAATACATGCCGAGCTTCTTCAACGGCCTTACTGACACACAGAATCAAGAACCAACAAGAACATATGGATGGATGGAAAACTACAATAAGTTCTAATCCAAATTTCAGCCTTTTTCAGAATCTGTGTCTCACAAACATAAATAAACTATCTATTGTAACTATTTTATTATTTTCTGAAGCTAACATAAAAGACTTGTTAAACAATATCCTCAATATGCTTGAGATGGTTTTATCTTTAAGCCACATTAAGTTTAAATTGTTTATAGGGGTCCAGCACTACGGCATATTAGCTTAAGCTTCCAATTGTAGTGCCGGCATCCCATATGGGCACTGAGTCCCAGGTGTTCGGCTTCCAATCTAGCTCCTTGGAGATGGCTTGGGAAAGCAGCAGAGGATGGCCCAAGTCCCTGATCCTCCGCACCCATGCAGGAAACCCAGAGGATGAGCCAGGTTCCTGGCTTCAGACCAACCCAGCTCAGCCACCGTGACCTCTTGGGGAGTGAACCAGCAGACAGAAGATCTATTTCTCTTCTCTGTGTAAATACTGGAACAGTATTTACTTGTAGTAGTGCAAAAGTACAGTAAATGAAGAAGCATCAAAGGAAAAGCAGGTGGACAGCCTTTGGATGGTACCCATTATGAGAAAGCAAACCTAAAATCTAAGAATTAGGTTAAAATTCAAAAACATTTAATAGATAGTGAAGCTTAGCAAATACAACTGTATCATTAGAAAAACATTAACTTCAATTTTTTAATAATGGTCTACACTACCTATGCAGCACAAGTGGGACAAATCAGAAATGCTATTAAACTATACCTTAAAATGCACTGTGATGTTCCAGGGAAGAGCTGAACTTGATGCAAGAAGATCAAACAGCAAACCGATTGGGTAATGCCTAAAAATGAGAGTACATTTTAACAGAAAAAAATATGCAAAAATTTTAACTATAACTCCAGAATAAATTTTCAGCCCATGTTCTAACACTAAATATCATTAACCATATCACAAATTACAAGGCCCAAGTTAACATGAAACCCTGTGCAGTCATTAGTTTCCTTACCTACAAAATTGTCCACAAAAAAATTTGTCAGTTACATTGTTATTTCTCCATGATGTAGCATCTAATTACCATTTTAGCCTTAAAATAATTGTTTTTCTTGAAATTAACTTTGCTTTTAAATGAATTTACAATTTTCAAAAATTTTAAGAATAAAACAAGCACCTCAAAACCATGTCAATTACATAGACTGTAGTTAATACTAATATTACCGAGTATAAATGTATAGCCTTCTGTCTGCATATATATCTAAACATGGCTCAGGAATATTCCTTACATCTAATAAAATCTGCTCTTTTTTCTGTACACAAAATTAAAACATCAACATTCCAAGTTATTGACTATTATTTTGAAACCTAAATTTTACAGAATTAAAGAGTCAGGAGAGAGACAGGAAGAAGAAAAGAGTGTGAATCATGGCTGAGTTAGGCCCAAGCCAGGAGCCACGAGCTTCTTCCAGGTCTCCCAGATGGAAGCAGGGGCCCATGGACCTGGGCTGTCTTCTGAGGCTTTTCCCAGGCCATTAGCAGAGAACCAGATCAAAAGCAGAGCAGCCAGGACAGTCAGCAGTGCCCACAGGAGCTGCTTGTGTCATGGGCAGCAGTTTTATCCACGAAGCCTAGTGCCCCCCCTTTATGTTATTTGTAAGAAATAAATTTTGGCCTTCCCAAACAAGTGAATACTTCCTAACAACATTAACTGATGCTGAAACAAATTACTTCGAAATAAAAATGAATAATATATCTATCAATTGATGACTGGATAAAGCATGCTATATTCATACTACAGAATACTATTCAGACATAAAAAGGAGTGTCTTTTCCATTGAAATGGATGCAACTAGAAACCATTATGCTTAGTGAAATAAACCAGTCCTAGAAATACAACCATCATGTTGTCCCTGATGTGGGCTACCTAAAATACAAAAGACAAAAATATGTACTCTATAGGAGTGCAATTGGCATTTTGAAATTTATTGTTTACAGTCTTCCTCTGTACTCTGGAGGAAGTGCTTTTTTTTCTATTTGCTATTTGTTGAATTTTTTACCCAATGGAGGGTTAAGTCTGTGATTGTTAAGGGAACAGAAAGTAAATGATTTAACAAATGAAAAGAAAAAAGGAAGCATATATAGTATTACATACCATCTGGTTTTTAACTGTATCTATTATTGACTGACTTTTAGATGTAAGAGCTGCAAAGTCCAGAAACAACTCTTAATTGCAACCACAATGAAACACCTGATCAACGTTCAAACATAAAGGTTTCTCCAAAAGTTTATGGAGAAATGGAATTAAAAGCTATGTTTAAAATAAAGCTGTGTTTATTTTGAGCTTTACCCATATTTTTTGGTACCACCTGTTTTCCACATATCCTTTGAAAACAAAAGATGTAAGCTAATATTTATGTTGCCTTAATTCTATATAACGTAACCCTACAAAATGCATCAGTTACACCGTATTGTAACCTTTGTTTTGTTTTCTTTTCACATTATTGAGTTACAGAGATAGAAAGGAAGAGAGAGAGAGTGATATCTTCCAACTGCGGGTTTACTGCCCAGTAAGGAGGAGCCTGGAATTCCATCCAGGTCTTCCATGTGGGTGGCAGAGGGCCCAAAAACTTGTCCCATCTTCTGCTGCTTTCCCAAGTGCGTTGGCAGGGAGCTGAACTGGAAGTGAAGCAGGTAGAACTCAACTGGTGATCACGTGGTATGCCAGGTTAGACCACAGCACCACAACCCCAGGCTCAGGTCATGTGCTTACTTACAGTTAGTTTAAGATTAATGCCCTATTGATAAAAATAAATCAGCAAGATGGGAAAGCTTAAGTCTTGCATGTGTTTCTTTCAGTATTTTTAAAAGGATTTAATAATATCTTAAGTAAAAACAAAGTATGAATTAACATAATCCTACTGGTTCACATGAGAAAGAAAACAGGAGGAGAGAAAATATCCAAGTTATTGTCAGTACAGATGATTTGCTTACGGCCTTGTATTTGTACTTGTACATATAACATCTCAGAGCACAAAAAACTGCACCTTCTGGTTCTCTTAAAGGGCAAGTGTTTCTTCCACTTACAAAGAACTGGCATTATGCCTCTAACGTCCAATTTTTACCGCTTGGTTTATGTTATTTCCTTGAAATGCTGCTACTTGTGAATCATGACTTGTACTTTTTTTAAGAGAAGCTAAAAGACGTAGACATGACAATTTAATGGTTTTAAAAACAGAAAATAAAAATTCAGTCACCTACTTGAAGGATTTTGTTCATTACTGAAGCCATTTCAATGACCACATGGCCAAAGCCAGGCCTGGCCGGGCCAGGCTGGAATCAGGAGGCAGGAGTTTCATGCAGGTCTCCCACACCTCAAAAGCAAATCCTTAAAACAAACCAGTAGTCAGCCACTGTTGTGACACCCACCTCCCATGCTGAAGTGTCACTTGCAGTCCTGGTTACTTCACTTGCAAGTCAGTTTTCTCTTAACAAGCTTAGGAAGCCCCAGAAAACAGCCCAAGAAGATGGGATCCTATCACCTATAAAGGGACCAGGTATAAATTTATATTTAAATGAAAATACAAGGTCAATTTTGTGGTATAGTGGGTTAAGCTTCTACCCTGGCATATCATCTGGGCACTGGTTCACGTCCAGATGTTCCACTTTCCAATGCAGCCCCCTGCTAAAAGACTGGGAAAAGCAGCAGAGGATGGTTCAGGTTCTGATCCCCTGCCAACACACATGTGAGACCAGAGGTGTCTGAGTCCTGTCCCTAGCATGGCCTAGCCCAGGATACTGTAAAGTTTCTGAGTCCTGTCCCCAACATGGCCTACTAGTCCTGGACACGGTGAAGTTTCTGAGTCCTGTCCCTAGCCTGGCCTAGCCCTGGACACAGTGACTATCTGGGCAGTGAAGTAGCAGATGGACTATGTATCTTGCACGCTCTGTCTCTTCCTCTTCTCTGTAATTCTGGCTTTCAAATAAATTTTTAAAAATTTAAATTACACATATATATAAAGTACCATCACAAACATTGGCTAATGATTATGATGCAATATTGAAAAAAACTGATGCACAAAACTGAGGATAACATATCTATTATCAAATTCTGTAATTCTCTTGTGATTCAACGCAGATGTTTGTCAGAATTTCTATGCACAAAGATCTCGTCTGAATTAGCTGGTTCCACAATTTCTGACTGACCTATTAACATTAAAAAAAAATCTATAAGAAAATGTGACTGACAAAAATATACACATTGTAATCTGACTTACGTCAAGGATTTCAAAAGTACTAATTCATACAGCAGTACATAGTTTTGTCAGGCCCCTAACCCACAACACAGAAACCACATAAACCATAACTATAAGTAAATTATAATGTAGTCATTTGGCTTATAGGCTGCTATTTCTGCAATCTAATGTAAGTTTAATAGAAAAGGAAATGCAGAAATATGTGTATATCCCAGGAGAGGAGGACCCTATGAATTAAAGGTTCAGTCTACCAAAATTTTCTCGATTATTCTATAAAACTGTTGTACTATATCTATTTTCACACTTTTCTTTCTCTTTGTACACTGTTCTAGTATTTCCTAAACTTAGCTGCTAAGACTAACGTAATTTAAAATTTTTTCCTTGTTTGTCTTTTTCCAGTTGCTCATATATATTGATTTGCAAGTGGTGGCTCAGTGCCGCTAACATGGACAGGCTCAGAAGGAAGCAAACTCCAGTTGACACGGCTCTCTTTAGGAGGCATACTAGGGACTGCATGTTTCACCATTGAAAGTATCTGTACCAGCCACCAGCACTGCTCTCAGTCCACTCCACTGAAACAAGCATCCTATTCTGAAATTTGCTACCTTAGTGGTGATTCACTGGCAACAGGATTTCATTTCACTGAGTTTAAAAAAACCAGAATACTTACAAAGGCATAACAAAGCAACTTAATGATTATAATCCTGTTTGCCTCACTATGTGCCACAGCAGGTGGAGCAGCAATGTTTTCATGACTTTCTATGCATACTCCTACATATGAAAAAACAAAAATAACCAGAGATAACCTACACATAAAATGCGATATAACTCAAAACTGAACATTATTTTACAGAATATGTAAGTCCAGTAAATCACAACATAACAAAAAAATACGTATGACTGGAAACAAGGGAAAGACCCATATAAGATTTCATTTAAACATTATTTGATTTTTAAAGGAAGAATTATAAACAAAATTTACTGAACTCAGTTTTTTCTTTTGAATTTTGCTGAGTTACTTCCTTTTTTATTTTTATTTTTATTGCAAAGTCAGATATACAGAGAGAAGGAAAGACAGAGGGGAAGATCTTCTGTCTGATGACTCACTCCCCAAGTGACAGCAATGGTCAGTCTGTGCTAATCTGAAGCCAGGAGCCAGGAACTTACCCCAGGTCTCCCACGCAGGCGCAGGGTCCCAAGGCTTTGGGCCATCCTCGATTGTCCCTCAACCCCTCACCCATGGCCACAAGCAGGGAGCTGGATGGGAAGTGGGGGCGGCTGGGATCAGAACCGGCACTTATATGGGATCTTGGCACATTCAAGGTGAGGAATTTTGCCGTCAGGCCATCGTGACAGTCCCTAAACTCAATTTTAATATTAAAGTCTAAGTCTCTTTATTATAGTCATGATCCTCAACATTTGCTTTTACAGAAGGAAAAAAAAATACTTTTTATTTAAAAGGCAGAGTTCAAAGGAGAAAGCTAACATTCACCATTTCACTTCTCAAATGCACACAAAGGTTTAAGCTGGGCAAGGCCAAGACCAAGAGCCAGGAACTCCAGCTCCACTCAGGTCTCCCATGGGCCACCATCCC